CATCATCGCCAAAGCAACATGCGGAGCCGTCTCGGCTATGTTGGGCTTCGCAGCGACCGAAAAGAGCCATGTACAGCGCAAGGCCACCTTGACGCGCCAGCCACAGGCTGTCTGCGCCAGCTATCTACATTAAAGAAGACTTTTACTGTGTCCTTTGTGTTTAGAAGGGCACCTCGTTTTATGAAAAACTTTGTGAGGCTTTCGTTGCCAATTACGTCCCGCATAAGATTAGATCAGCCACACTGCTGTCCCGACGGCCAGCCGATAGAGGGAATCGCGTTATTGCACATCAAACTTATGGCGGACCATCTTTACAAAGCAGAGTCTCCACGTGTTGTATTCGCTACTAGAGACAAAGGGACGCCTGATTGGCACCGCCGGTGTCCGGCTGGCGATTCATAAAACATGCCGGCTGAGCCCGGTGGCGGTTGGACTTGTAGGCCCGTAATAGGAAAACCAAAAGCGAGGATCAATTGAGATTATTTAATTAGTCAAAATTATAAAAATACTCCTCGTAGGCGCCCGCACTCCACCAAGACAACCACCCCCCCCCCACAACCGCCGCCCCAATGCCAAAGCCGAGTGACTAGCCCCAACCTATCACCTCGTCAACCACAGATCATGCCGTAATCATACTTGAAGAAATGACGATGACTTACTGGTAATGGAAAATGCCACTGCCAAAAGCCCTAACCAGCCCACCACCGCCCGCCGAAACCCTAACTACCTTCTTCTCGTCAGCCGGCGGCCAACATCCCTCCCCGTCCCCGTCCCCCCGGCAAGTCAACCCACTCCCTAGCATCCAGTTCAGTCAGCACAAGATCTCCGAGACATCAGGTTAGAGCCGGATTGGACTCACAGAGCAGCGGGGTTGGCCGGGGGCGAGGAACAGAGGTGGGTGTCCCCGCACGGGCACCGGACCCGATGGTGGGTGGTGGTGACGGTGGTGACGGTGGTGGTGGTGTCAGAGTGCTGCCGCTGCCGCTGCCGCTGGTGGTGGCGGTGCCGGCGCGGAGCATGACGAAACCTTATTTTTCCAACAATGAAAAAAAGACTTTTTTTTCGATCAATTTTTTTGGATGCTAAAAAAAAAAATGTGATGAGAGTCTGAGGAGAGAAATCCGAATTTTTGGGGGGGGAGAACTGGAATATTTATCGACGACTCTGTGTTTAGACTGCCTGCCTTCTGACTTCAATATCCGTCATGTAGTTCCCGCCCGTCTTGCATGCCTTTCCACGTCCCCAGTGCCTTCCGCGTCACACTTTCCAGAGTCCCCAGTCAAGCCTTGCACTTCCTTGTAGAAACAAACCCATCTAAGACGCGACTTCCCCTGAAGAACTTTAATCCACCAGCCTAGCCATAGGTCGCTCTCAGAGATACCGCAAGCTGAGCGCATGGGTACCAGAAGGCAAGAGAACTAAGGTCTGAACTGATGAACTGGCAAAACCCATCATTAATCATCCATACCTAGTCAAGCGAGACCAAGGCATGGACTACTTCACACAGAGGGTATAGAACCACCTGCTACTAACTGAAATTTTCTGACAGGGTAAGACCGATGGCATCGACCACCTACTTCAGCACGGCAAGTACAACATTGGATGCAGATCTCTCAGGGCGCCCAGTGGCCTTGGGCCTAAACCGAACCATTTGGACCAAGCAGCGTTCGGCGTTCCTCTTGGATTGAAAATATTCGGAAATAATGGCCGTTCCGAGGGTCTAAGTCTAGTTTGGAATGACCCCATAAAAGCCCCGATCTAACCAATAAAAGGCTAGGATTCTTCCGGGCTCTGAGTCGTGGTCAGGACCTATTTGGCTCCTGACAGGCGCTTGGATTGCATTTTTCGTCGCACATCTGACATAATCGCCTGCAAGAATCCACATTAACCCCTGAAAAGTCAAGGTCAGCCATTTACGTGCCAAAGATTAAAGCTATTGCCAACACACCTGTTCCAAACTATATTTACTGCCGCCAATAGGGCGCTAGCCAGTATACTCTAATGCTCAGCTCAGATATAGCGGAAACGGCACTATAAGTTGAAGGTTGTTGCCGCTATTATATCTCTCCTATTTACTATAGCCATGCGTGAAGTCTTTTGTTGCTATGGTTTGGAATAATGATGCTTATGCAACGCATGTTGTATTAGAGGGCCACTCCAAGTAGTATCAAGGCATACCCGAGACAAGCTTTCCAAGCAAAAGAACATGCCCTCACAGACACTTGTGATCATGGGATTGTCAGGCCGCGCCGCCCAAACTTAAATCATACCAACGCTGAACCTACATGTAATTAAGGATACAGGATAGGTAGATTACAGTCATTATGCTAGAAACTAAAGCTCAGTCTACTCCCATCAAACTTCGTTGGTAACATTAATACCGATAAGGCTGAGTTCATACCTACTACTTAAGGTACAGTTGTCGCCATCGTTTCTCACACACACATCCACCCAGCTCTATTCATCCAACATGTTAGACAAAAAAATGGGCTGGTTACTAGATAACAAAGTAAAGCATGATACACATCCCCCTCCTCCCCACATTCCCTATTCAGGGTCAGGAGACGACCCTAGAGCGCTGTAACAGTCTTAGGAGTCCTCCAGTTCGGGCCACCAGCAACAGGGAGAATACACAACTAGCAAAGGCAGCTCAAGCACTTGGTGGCGGCGGACACTACGCCGAGTCCAGGTCTTATCATACCAACCCTTACGGCAGCAGGTGTCTTACAGTCGCACCTACTACTGCTGCTAAGAAAGAGAGGCCTGTCACCATTGACATCTTGAAAATCCTTCCAAGATAGAATGGGCATAACAACATGACATGTGGTCAGGGCGCTAAGCTTACAAAGCTGCCGCTACCGATCGTGCCACCTACCCTAGTTAGTTCCTGCTTACTAGGCATCATATGCTACCCCCCTCAGCCGACATTAGCACCCTAGGATGTTGCTGCCTGCTGGCAGTAGGCACGGCTGGTATTCTCGTTAGATAACCTGCCAGATATCCCCCAGGCACCACCAATTCCATGGCGGGCAAACCTCAGCGACTACTGCTTCGTCAACGAAGTTCATTTCATGAACTATTCTTACCCTACCCCATTCTTCATGCACCAGCCAGAGTCAGAGAAGGTCAAGACATTCTGCCATCACGGTAATAATGCCGCTACGCCTTGTGGTATGTCCGTGTCACTCGGCGGGCTTACATACGAGCGCACCATTAAGCTCGCGCTGGTGCGCGACCGGACCCAGTACTCTAGGAACTTACACTTACAGTCACAAGCCAAGACGGCGACTGGCTCGTGAGCCTACCAAGCGCCGATGCTGCTACTCTTATTAGCCTTGATTCAGTAATTAGGTAAGTATGATGAATGATTTGATAAGAAAATGGTGGTGCCCGACTAACATACGCCGAAAAGAAAAACATAATTGTCAGATGGATAGTTATACCCAGAACAAGATTCCATCAAGAACTCAGTCATGCTTTACGCAAAGACGCTCTACCAGCCGTAGCTCAAGCCTTCCGATCTCAAGTCTCACAGACATGGACAACCATCATATCCACCCTCAGGTCGCCCTGTGGGAGCCTCTGCAGCCGCGAGGCTCATTTCAGCGATTACAGCAGATCCCCCCCCCCGCTTCACACAAGCCTCGGCGTTCGTCTGTGCCAGGGTTTTCCCAGCTCCCCACCATAGCCAATCCATCAGAGTATTCCCAAGTGCTCTGTCCCGCTATAGGATGTGCTAGAGCCCCCTGGCTGCATCAGCTCTGTTGCAAGGGGGGGTGTGGGCACAGCGGCGTCTGATTGACTTCCATCCAGGTTGGTGTGCTGAACAGCGGGCTGTATGCCCCGGCCACCCCCGCATTTGCCGCGGCGCCGCGAAGCCGATGAACCTACTCTTGCGTCACTCCCCCTGTCTAACCATTTCTATCGCTTGGACCCTTTAACATCCGTCTCTGCGATCAATGTTTGAGCACTGTCTATAGTAAAGTGACCAATTATACATGTGTTTGTTTAGCCCTCCGACGTTTTGAAAGTGCCATGTTGGCCGCCGAAGGTTGCTGAATTTGTCTGTCAGAAGCAGCGCTTGACTCAAGCCAGACAAGCCAAATCAAGCTAAATTAGTCAACTGGCTTGATTGGCCTGATTTGGGTTACTTTTCCCCGATTTCAGGGCTAATTGGGCGCCCCGCTTCGGCCACCAGTGATGCCCTTTCCTTTGTTTCGGTCGCAACAACCGATTCTACTACGGGAAATCCGCTCTCAGTCAAACACCTTCGGGGGCCACAGTGTTTGCGAGCCAGTTCAAGATACCAGCCCCGAATCGTCATCCAAGAAGAGGAAGACAGTCCTGTCCTCGAGACCTTGGACATCTCGAGGCACACCTGTTGGGTCTCGCTCCCTGACACACAAATATCTACTTTATCATTCTCTACAAGTCTTAACGCCACAGTCCTTCGCTCGAGTGGGCGCAGTCATTTCACATTGATTTTAATTGTATTTCTCTACGTGCTTTTTCTTTCTTTTGCGCATAGATTCCAGGCCCCAGGGTAGGGGCTGGGATGGAGCAAGGTGCCGCAATGACTCGTGGGTTAGATATTCGGCTTGGTTACCTTTGCATGTACTTAATGACTAATGATTAGATTTATGTTTTCCTTCTGCAATAGCGTGTCATTATCTTCAAGTCGTTCTTTGTGGTTGTGGATTGATTGTTATTCGCCTACCAAGACAACCAAACCATGGAGCAGGTGGATTTGCGACATTGATGATGCGCACTGGATCGCAGCATGTCCCTGTTCATTCACCAGGGCCGGCATGTATAAGCGGAGCGTCACAGACGAGCCGCACCGCCAACAGGGGGTAAGCATGTATGTACGAATTCTGCCCCTCTTTGGGATTTTCTGTGGAGTTCGCTGACAGTCACTTTTTGGATTCCTCCATGCTCCCAAATCAATCACCCTGACCCATGCCAATGCCTAGCTTTCGTCCACCATAATCCACCACAACGCCCGCTTAGCTCAGTGGCAGAGCGCTCACTAGTATATCTTCTGATACATCATCTAAACATGATGAGGCCCTCAATTCGACTCTGGAAGTGGGCTTAGCTGCACAACAACGAATGTTATTGAGTCCTTTTGCACATCCCGCCAATATACGTTTGTTCAGGAGCGAAGCCAACATCTGAATGCACAACAAACATATCGTCCATTGGGCGCAAACATCCTCACACCGGACAATTATTGCCAGGTGCATCGAACTATCTACGATAGTGCACATCAAACAGGTCCAGTTAGACTGCGCCTCTCGGCAATCCTGTCAAAGTCCAATGGTGCAGTGCTAGTTCACCACGAAGATCGTTACCAACCCCGTCATCCAGAGACGCTTCAGTCCATCAAGAACGTGGCAGATGCTGGGATGCCACGTCGGAACGGCAGAAATGATGGATTAGCGCGATCTCTGCCGCTGGGCGCATCGATGCCAAGGCGTGTCGTCGTCGCTGGCGTGTTGTTCGGCCAAGGGGCGGCCGGGGCTAAAATCCGGGGTCAGGGGCGATCAAACCAGCCATGTAACCGTCTGCCGTTGAAGCGAATCTCAAGCGCAAACAGCGGCCGAAAACAGCCTGTGGTATTCTGCTGATGGCTTTGACCGTCGTGTGCAACGACCTTGCCCAGGCTCGTTTGTTTCCGACGTCGAGCGACTCGAGGGGACGTCGATCTGCAACGGAATGTCGTCGGAATTCATGCCAACGCTCGCCTGCACTGTCTTTGGACGCGGTAAGGATCACCCCTGAATGGCGGGTTGCGAGTCCGGGTTGGACAGGCTGGACAGGCTGGATGGGTTGCTGCTCGTACTTAAAGAGCCACGGCGCAGCGAATCCGGGTCTCGACGATTGCGTTATCATCCCATCTTCTTCCCTCATCTCCTTTCGTTTTTTAACATTCGTTCAACACGACCTGGTGTCGTCTGTTTTAATAAGCCGATCTTTTAATACAACTCTACCCACAACACCACCACTCCTTCAAAATGGTTCGCATCTCTGTCGCCGCTGTGCTGGCTTGTAAGTCGCCCCGCGCTCTCCATGGCTTCCAAGTTCCAACGGGATGTGAGGAGTTGGACTAACATGAGGTTCAGTTGCCGTCGTTACCATGGCCCAGATCACCCCCAACCTCGCGGGTGCCCGGAACGTTGGCGGTGGAAACGCCGCCCAGTTCATCACGGGCGGGTGCGTCAACAATGCCGACTGCTCGAGCGCCTGCTGCGCCAACGCCTCCGGGGTCGGTGTTTGCTCGGCCGAGGCCGCTGCGTTCCAGAACGGCAAGGCTGGATGCGACTTTGTCGACCCCAACGCTGCTGCTACCATCGCTGCGGCCAAGGCCCAGGTTGCCAAGCAGGGTTTTTAAAGGGATAGAAATATGGGGTCCCTAGAAATACCAGGAGACGATCTTTGTAGGGATGTGATGAGAAGATGACAGAGATGTCAACCCTGGCACCGGGGACAAAAGGGCCACCTCGGCGCCTGGTAGAACAGAGCAACATGGAAGTACATACATACCTACCTACATACCACGACACGTAACAATACCGGACTGCATATACCATACGAGGCTCGATTTACGGATTAGGTATGGAAGAGTTTCTTCCGAATTCAAGATTGTCGGAACTGTGACTTCAGGGGGGGGGGGGGGGTCATATTTAACTGAGCTTTCGAGATTGGCATCGGAAAAGGTCCTCGATAGCATCATCCGGCATTTCCAGACTCTGACGAGCTTTTCATCCCCAGTACCTTCCTACTTGGCCCCCTCCCCAAATAATGCCTCTTTTGTATCGTAAGCATACTCCAAGTCGAAATGCCAATATGGCGCCTCCTCCCCCTTGGCAATCCGCCACATCCGATCCAAAGCCCCCAGCAGCTCCTCCGACAGCGGGCCCTTCTCCAGATAGTCCAAGTTCGAGTCGATGTGCTCCAACTTGGACACGCCAATGATAATCCCATCCCCGCCACGCACGTCCAGCTTGGAGTGGTGCACCAGCCACCTCAACGCGACCTCAATGGTGCTCACACCCTCCCGGTCCGCGGCCGCCCGGAGCTCGGCGATGGCATCAAACGTCGAGTCCCGGAAGTAGCGCTCGCGGATCCACCCGTTGAGGAACTTGTCCGAGAAGCGGCCCTCGGCCGGCACCGTCTCCTTGCGCGTGATCTGGCCCGACAGCAGCCCGCCGACGATGGGCGAGTAGACGACCACGTCGAGCCCGTAGCGGCGGCACGCGGGCAGCAGCTCGGCCTCGATGCCGCGCTGCATGCAGTTGTACACGGCCTGGTAGACGGTCGGGCGCACCCAGCCGCGGCGCGCGCACGTCAGCACCACCTCGGCCACCTCAAAGGCCGCAAAGTTGCTCAGGCCGAGCCGCTGGAACTTGCCCGCCTTGTGCAGCGCGTCCATGGCCGCGAGGGTCAGGGCGAAGGGGATGGAGCGGTCCTGCGGCGGCGATGGGTTAGTAGGCCCCCCAGTTCCAAGGAGGGGGTGGTGCGACGTACCGGCGCGTGGAGGTAGGCGATCTGCTGCTGTTAGCCATGGTTTTCTTGTCACTGGCGAGAAGATTGGGTAATTACATCAACAGAGTCAGTCCCCAGCTCCCTCAAGCTGGTCTCAAACTCGCGGGTAATGATCTCCGGCGCATGGTTTCCCGGCGGTATAGGGTAGACCTTTGTCGCGATGGAAAATCCACGCTCTTTCCAGCCTGCCTGGCGGGTGAAGCCCTCTTGGGCACCTCCGCCATATGCGCGCGCCGTGTCGAGCTCGGAGTAGCCACGGGCCTGGAAGATATCGAGGGCCTGCTTCAGATCGTCGACCTTGTGGAGGCGGGCGCCGGTGTTCTCGTCAGGGGCAAAGCCCATGAGGCCGAGGATGATTCGTGGTTGAGCCATGGTGGAATTGATGATTGGCGATTCGGTATGTTCAATGATTGATTTGATTGGAGAGAAACATAAGATTTCAGGTCATCGAGGTTGACCTGACACCCCGACCCCTCACTCTGTAGACCGGATGCCGCTGTAGTAAGGCGCTGCCACTTGATCTCGGCAGTAGGTTTGCAGTCCGCCCACGGCCCAATGGGATATTTACCGCCGGCATTGTTTTCCCGGGGCGGGACATTTAAAACACAAGATAGGGGAGGAAGGGCAACTCAAGTAAAGCTCAGATTTCCGCTGCGCTGAGTTGAGCCGAGACCTGGGCTGTGGCCTGGTGTCCAAGTTAACAAAAACAATTAGGACTTGGGTATCTAAATAAAGAAGAAAAAAAGAAAGAAAAAAGAAGGGTGACAACTGCACGGGGGTGGGGACTAAACTGCACGTCCGTTAGTTCTCCGGTTTAACAATTGTGTTGTTGGGTTAGTGTCGGGTCGAGGCTCAAGTCCCTGCCACAGGAATATCTATTTAAAAGAATAGGAGAGATAATGCCGCGCATGTCACGGAAATAAGGAGGTGGCAACATGGAGTCTCAATCTTGTTTGTGAGATGCATGGTTGTCTCCCTATCACCCTGCGGGATGCCGTTATTATCTGTGGTACAACATCAATACGGACATTGCGGGTGTATGTCGATTTTGACCCCTCCGGACTTTAACCAAATGTGTTTGCTCCGCGCGGGCCGTCTTTGGCGACCGAGTTAATCGTTCACGGCTGCCTTGCAGCGGAACTGGGATGACGGGAATGATGGGATGGCCAAGCCCATATCGGGAGCTCGGGAGACTGTCCACGATTTCGGAATGGTCGGTCGGTAGACGCCGGGCTTAGCTGCCAAGGAGGTCCGCAGATGGTGGGTGATCCGGGAATCCCCACACAACTCAACCAGCTTGGCCACCACTTTCTCCGACCGAGCGCGGACCTAGGAGCCAACCGTAATCTCCATGACGTCTGGCCCTCAGACGTCGCCAGCACCTAAGCACAACATAGTCTCTACTTGCGACTAGAATACTATAAAAGTAACTTCAACTCTTGTATAGCTCGGGCTCGAATTGGCCGAAATCATACTCTCACCTCTTACAAGCACCTCTTTGCATTACCCCGCCCCCTTTTGTCTCGCAAACCCCGACTGCAGCCCAACACAGCAGACATGTCGCCCAGTCTCGAAGCAAACGCAGTTTTCCGTGTTGACGGCATGGTGGCCGTCATCACGGGCGGAGGCACCGGTAAGCTCAAGCTGCCATTCTTTTTCTTCTCGGAGGATTCTCCTGACGCTCGCCTAGGAATCGGCCTCATCATGGCCCGGGCGCTGGCCGCTAACGGTGCTGCAAAGGTCTACATCCTTGGCCGCCGGCTCGAGGTGCTTGAAAATGCCGCAAAGGAGAACCCCGACGTGTTTGTGCCCATCCGATGCGACGTGACTTCCAAGGACTCGCTCCAAGCAGCTGTTGACCGCGTCACCGCCGAGGCCGGGTTCGTCAACCTCTTCGTCGCCAACTCGGGCATCCTCGGCCCGCTCAACAAGTGGAACCCGTCCAAGTCGGTTTCGGAGGTGCGCCGCGAGCTTTTCACCGACAACTCGATGGAGGCCATGACGGAGGTATTCCACGTCAACGTCACAGGCGCCTTTTTCTCCATGGTCGCCTTCCTCGAGCTGCTCGACGCGGGCAACAAGAACGCGGTCGAGAAGGGCGGCTTCGGAGCTCCGACCAAGGCGGGCAGCAATGTGCCGTCAGTCCAGAGCCAGGTCATCGTCACGGCTAGCATCGCAGCCTTCAGTCGGATGAATGTGTCCACGGCGCCGTACAGCGGCAGCAAAGCAGCCATCATGCACCTAACCAAGCATGCCAGCACCAACATGGCGGTTTACGGTATCCGGGCGAACGCCTTGGCGCCGGGACGTAAGTCTTCGCCCCATCTGTGACGGAGAGCCCAACCGTCAATGCTGACCTGTTCTCCAGTGTTCCCGTCGGAGCTCGCCGCGAGTCTCATCGGAACTCGCAACCCAGCAGAGGAGACGTACCAAGACCCCAAGTTCATCCCTGCGAGGAAGTTTGGCGGCGACGAGGAGATGGCGGGCACTGTTTTGTATCTGGCGAGCCGGGCCGGTTCCTTTTGCAACGGCATGGTGCTTGCTGCG